GAGGCTTCAATCTTTTTCAGAACAACTTCAGAAAGCACTAGAACAATGGGATTATATTGAGAACGATTTGAAAAGTTGGAAAAAAGTACTCAATGACTTAACATTTCATCTGGATTCTTCATCAACAATCGATATTAATCAGCATGAAACTATTCCATTAGTGTCGAGGTCTTACATTGATGTGAAAATCACCAATGACACGTTTGAGTAAGTCTATGAAAATAGTGTAAGGATAGAAGAAAAAGGAAAAGTAGCTGCTTATGTGGGTTCTGGTGGGTATAAGGAAATACGAGGCAAGATAAAGTACGAATTTGATTGTCACAGACTTTGTCTACGCATTGAAAACTTGTCAAATCAATGGATATTTTTGGGAATCAACTCTGAATCAACACCTCTACAAAGTGTATCATATGAGTCCTCATCGACTTATGGATGGTGCAGTAGTAACTATATTTATTCGAAAGGACAATCTCAACTTAACATACCGATTTTTAACAATAGCCGTATTGAAATAAAAAACAACGATATTGTAATCTTAGTTTTTGATTGCGACAATCATATAATATCAATGATCAATCAACGAACGAACACGAAACATGTTTTGACTGTGGATGTCCAAAATTGCCGACTGCTATGGCAACTCCATGTTATTTTACGGGAACCAAAATGCCGTGTTCGTACCTTATCAATGTAAATCTTTACTGTAAATTTGAAAATACCTATATTTCTTTCGTGTAGAACTGTTTGTCATTACAAATATTTCGCGTATCAGAATGCTTTTCTTCTCACATTTGCGATGCACATAACAAGTGACCTAATAGTTGTTGCACTCAGTATTTTCAGTTTCTCCCTTCAATATACTTGATCAAGCCATTTTTTAACAAAATATTCACTATTGAGTTCTCTTCAAAAAACGAATTAACTATTTCATTACGCAATCTGCAGATAAAAGAGGATATAAAAGATTGCGCACAATATCGAAATGATGACAAAATAAGTAAAAAGCTAGTTTTAGGCAATAATTTTTGCTAAACGTGTGCGCATAGGAAAACTGAAACAGCCATATTGTGAACGTTGAAAATGGTTTGTCGTTATGCAAAGTTTAAATAATTTTTTCAGTTAAATTTGTTGTAGTAAGAAATGTTTAATTTTTTTCCGATATTTTTCAAAAGGCTTGCTCTTTTGACAATAAATCTATATCTTTCAATACAACAAATAAACCTGATTCAAACTTGTTCGTGTGCATAGTATTTTTATTACTTTGTACTTCATCAATTAGGGGTGTGAACGTGTGAATCTTCTCTTCGCTCACTCACATCGGCATCCTCACTCACTTTACCCACACGGATGCTTTCGCTTTTGATTGCGAAAAATAACCGCATTTTTATGAACTTATATGCATATGAAGACTGAATCGTATCTTCATGTGAAAATTCTATAAGTTTCAGATTTGAACCATATTACAGTGCTGAAGTATAAATCCTATGTTTACTCTACACCTTTCAACCAGTGCCATCACTCTCCCCTGCTCTTCCCTACGAGGATCATACGTGAATCTTATTCTGAGGTAGGTAGTGTTACTCTGAGAACTTCATTTTCTGCAAAGATCATCATCTTTGAGCTATGGCTTTGTAATTACCATTGTAGAGAATTCTTCTAGTATCTGCAGTAAAGTGGGATGCTTTAGACTCGAATGTATTTTATTTTATTTTTAATAAAGAAATCGTGTCCACATCATGTCTCAATAGACGAAGTTTAACAATCTTGCTTCGTTTAATAAATTGGATGAAATGTCGAAAACTTTCTGCCTCAACCGGCAAATATCGATGAAGCTATCATTCCTATCATTTCGTATCTGATTTTTCACTGGCATATTTTGCAATAAACTCCTCTCTGTATTAGAAGATCTTCAAGTCTTCTCAAATTTTTGAGTGTACAAACTCCAAATATGGATGTTCTATAAACAGGATTTTCAGTCTGACTTTCGGATAAAATTGTCAAAAATGATGGTGTTATCTTTCAAATGGTTGTTTTCACATAAAGTCATCTAGAAAACGTCTGATTCCGAGAGAAATCAATCATGAATAATGATGCACGTATGTAGTACTTCCCTTACTGTTCTATTTTTCCAAATGAGCATTAAGTAAATCAGCCCCGAGACGCAGACGAATCAGATGAGTACATGGTTTGATTGTCTTCCTTTAGATTGGCTGTCTCTCTCTCTCTCTCGCTCTCTCTCTTGCCACCGTAGTTCATGCTGGTCTACAGGCCGAGACTAGTATCGGTCAGCGAAACCCCTGACCAGTTTCTCCTATGATCCATTGGACACTGTAGGCATTAAGAAAATGGAAAAAGTAGACTTCAACTCGTTTTATCACATCAAACAATATCAAAATGAATACTGCAGGTCGAAGAGTTTAGCGTTGCCAGAACAGTAGACGTCCAGACAAATACCATCAAAAAGCGTCAGTCGAGAAGAGCTACTGGTTCAAAATACGTTCATGTGCTAGCTGATGTTTGAATCGAGCTATATCAACGCCTTTTCTATGTAAAAACGGCAGTGAATACTCAATATGACTTATGAACGACTGAGAGCTTTCCGCTTTAATTTAAAATAGACATCACTTTTGTCTACTTCTTAAAATAATTGTTTTAGTCAGAAAATTTCACATTCGAGGACTATTTCGCTGGCGAAGACATGTTTCTTGATCTATTGAACTATTTTTTTCATACCCTTTTCTATTAGTTGAACGAATCACTATAGATTCTTACCGACTCGCATAGTTAAGACTGATTTCATAAACAACTGATCGATGAAAACTTCGCCAATAACACTTTCTATCACATTTATTGTCCCATTTTCTTTCTCTACGAGTTTATTGATTTACGAGACATGGATGAACGACATGATTTATTCTGAAAAAAATTCCATGAAGTTTTAGCTATTCATGATTGTGTATTCTTTTTGAGCGATGCTTTGATACGTAGTATCAAGTCAGAAACAACTGGATTGATTTGAAGGCTGACGTGAGTGGCTGTTAAAAAGATTGAAGATGAGAGAACCAAAAGAACAATAGAAGTACCTTATTTGTTTGAAGTATATACATTAGCTAAGTATTGTGCTCCATTGTCTCCAATATGGGGAGATCTGAGATTCAATGTGATCAATGTCTATGAGAAAAAACGAAGGAAAGTATGAGTTGAAAGCAGTGACGAGACAACGAAAACGACCTTATTTGTTTCTAATTCAGAGGCCAGATGTTCAGCACCTGTGTCTCTAACTCGATTGTCCCAAAGATTGAGTGCCGTGAGTGTCTGTAACAAAGAAATACATGGAGATGAGAATAAGTAAAGACTCCATCATTTTAAGTACCAACTTCGTCCGAAACATCTCAGTCAGATACTGCACTCCAGCTGTTCCAATTTGATTGCGCCCAAGATCCAATGTAGTCAGTATCTAAATCAAACAGACAAAGATATGATGTAACTAAAACGAGTAGAGCAAGATCACTGTATTCTTTTTCAGCGCATCAGCCAGATATCGTACTTCTAGATCTGTTATTCGGTTGTTCCACAGATTGAGTGTGATCAATGCCTTCAAGAAGGGTGTGGGTGTGGATGTGGGTTGATGGGTGGGGCTGTGTGGCTGTCGATGTAACTGCTGATGTGGGTGTTCGTCCATACTTGGTCGACACCCACACCGACCTTTGTTGATGATATTCTTGCTTATTTTATTCGGTGTCAAAGTAAGGAGGATGACATTCACTCGAATTCTTTTATATGACAATTTTGAGAATATTCTCAAAATTTGTTTTAATATCTTTTCATATTAATAAAGAAATAAACTCAACAAGATAAGGCAAACAATTATTTACAAATCGTGCATAACACCAGAGTTTTCGTCTTAGCCGAAAAAATAACGATGATTATTGACTTACTTTCGTTATTCTCTTAGTGTCAGTATGCGACACAATGACGACATATTCGTAAAAGACATCGAAGGAATGAATAGATAGTCAAACAGAAGAAAATATAGTTTTAATCAATAGTAATGAACGCAATTTTAAAATCCAATTTAAAATGATATAAATTGTAAATAAAAAGCCTTGTATTGGTGTCGTTCTCAATAGTTTCGAAGGCTGTATGATGAACATGTATAATTACTATCTATTTATTCATCATTTTGGCTTTCTTTATACAGCTGCAGATAACTGATCAGTCTAAATGTACTGAGCATCTTTATCTTTGCATGTCCTTTTTTAACACAAAATAATTGCAACTTTATATTCGAGAAACTAAACCGAAAGAATATAGTATGATAAAATAATATACTTATGTCAAGAAATGATGTCATCATATGGACGATCGAACTACCCTATAGTCTTAATAATAAGAGTTACATAAGATTAAAAAATATGTTTTATAATAAAAGGATAATGTTGATTGTGACGAATCATATTGTGTAAAAAAGGGGAAAATATCAGACATTTTGATCTTGATTCTGTTCTTATAATCGTGACAATTACTTAAACAGATTCTTCCCCGTTAGTTCTGATCATAAGTATTTGTAGAAAAAAAAATTCGAGTTCGTCTAATGTCAATTGCACAAATTATTTATTTCTAAGGATAGATCACGGTTCGCTGGTCTGTCGTTAAAATTATTTTGTACAAACAGATAGCATATTTTCATTTGTAACAATATGTTGGTCAATGTCTATTTTTCACCATTATTTTGATATTTCCATCTGTTTCAACACTTTAATTTTATGTGAATCAATCTACTTTTGTTCATGTTTTATTTAAATGACAAATTAAAAATAATCACCTTATTTGTGCATGAGGAAAATAGTCTTTTATATGTTCAGAAAATTGTAGCTTTGGACGAAAAAAATAGTTGAAAGATCCACGAAGTTCTAGTTTTCTAGATAAATAGACGTAATTCATTTTTGCACAATTACTTCGTGTTGAATTTCTTCTAAAATTGCGCGTCACTTGTCTCACTATATTGTACAATTCATATACACATGAACATGAAATGGTAAGCACATTTTGGTATCGAATAAGAATTGTTCATGATAATCTATGCAAGTATCAAGAAGATTAAGATATTTCAGATAAGGATATTGAATGATTGATAAGTCTCGATTTTCATTCTCTACTTTTCTAAATCGTTTATTAATTTGTCGAGTTTGATTAACTACAGTTAATTCTTCCATCAATGGAAATGATTGAGCAATTCGAAGAAAAAATTCATGTTCAAAAGGACGTTCATCAAATAATGACATTTTACGAACACATTTAAATATGCCACCTGGAAAATTATTTATTATATCATAGTAATGTTTTAGTTTATATGGATATGAATACATATGGCAACGACCTTCTTTTACTTTTGGAAAATAATCAGCATAATAGATAATTTGTTTATCTTTAAAATCTTTGAATGTCTCTTCAATATATTCATTTGATAGTAAATTAAATTCATTATAAAAACGACTTGATGAACGAATATTAAATGTGAATTTGTATAATCGTGGCATACGATTAATAATGTTTATCTTCAAATCATTACCATCAACAAATGTTTTTCTTCCATCAACAATAAGACACAAATCAAGTTTTTTCTAAATTCATCATTCGATGTAAAAGTGGTAAAATCAATTCATCATAAACACATGTTGACAAATTGCAGTGTAGCGAAAAGCATTTTAGAGTAGGTAGTTTTTCCTAGAAAAAAAAATATTATTCATTCATATTTAAATAAATTACATGTTGCTGAAAAATAATCTACCTCATTATTGATTTGTAGACTCGAGAGAATAACGAAAACATTAACATAAAGTGTATGAAGTTGATTCAAACGACCATCAAGTAAATAAAGACAATCAATAAAAGTATCCTAACAGACATAATTTTAACAAATTTGTAGAGATAGCAGTTAGTGGTAGAGTACGAAATGATAATCGTTGATGACCAAGTGAAGATGGACAAAAATTTAAATATTGTAAATTAGTGAAGATAGTAAAGATATGTGTAAATATAATTGCATTACCATCAACGGGAAACCTTTGTATTTCGTTTGTACTAATGTCAATAACAAGTGCTGAAATTTGGTTTTTCAACTTACAAATTACGGAAGTTTCATCTGAACAATGAAAAGATTAAAAAATTATTAACAAAAATATTTTATTAGATTTTATGTAATTGCTTAACTCTAAGTATGTACGCTTTATTCATTATTTTACTAATGCTATAATTTATATATTTGATTTTCTGCTTTGAACTTACTTCATTGATTATATTCTATCGTTGTCATTAATCTTTATCAATATTATTCTACATTTTCTTTTTTCAAAATCTTGTATAAGTTGGAATCGAAGATAACATAAGCTTTTTATTTTTATACAAATACTTATGATTCATGGAAAATGATATCTTTGATGACAACTTTCTTCACATTATATCGACAAATAAATATGAATCAAATACGAAATTAGTTTCAACTTATTAATGAAATTTATTCATGAATTTTCTTGACTTATAGTTTTAATTTTTATCACTAAAATAATGAGAGTTAAATATCTTACCGGTAAAAAGATTTATAGCTGTTTCTGCTTCAATATTATACAAAATAATTCCATATAAATTAGGATAAGCTGTAGCAAGAAGAGTTCGTTTCATTGATCGTGATTCAAGTTCAAACCATTGGATTTTTTGATGAATTTCAGGTAAAATATGTGAACAAAATCGATCAAGTATTGGATTTGGTAATGGATAGGCAAAACCATTTGGTGCAATCATCAGGAAGATCAAATGATTTGTAAAAACAAAATCATGTGCTATTCTATTGAATTGTTTACTGACACCTGCTAAAGAATCAAGTACTTCCGTACTAGCCAATGTTTTAAAAATAATTATAAGAATTTCATCAGGTAAATCATTCAATTGAAAGCATGAATACTTCATGTTCATTTACACGTTTATCTGTTTTGCTTAAGTTATAAATGTCAGTATTTATATTGACGTGTTTGTGTCCTATTTGACCGATGCTGTCAATATAAATAATGCACAATTTTTTATAATTTAAATTGACAATGAATGAATGGGTAATTGATCGAATATTTTTTTCTTTTCTCTTTTTGTTCAACGCATAATTTTATAGGCGGATAAACAGTTAGAAATTTCGTTTCTTTTTGTATTTTAATATACAGAATTTCATAACTATGAGTTTATTCATATTTAAGAAGATTTATCTTTTGGAAATGGAAACTAATTTCCTTTTCAAAGGACGCGAATAAATTTGGTAGCAAAATCAACTCTATTTCAAAACTAACAGAAAATGCCATTCAGGATCGATATCTTCAAAGATAATTAGCTGCACTTTTTCAAAACAATATTTTATCTTTATCACCTACAGTTTTCAGACTAATGCAACGATATATTTAATCGATAGTAAATTCTTCTGTGGCTGTTCAATAGTTACATTTAGATGTTCGAGTAATCGTAAAATTTCAGGTATTAAGAGAAGAATAAGCTCAGATGAATGTTGTAAACTGAGAGTCAACCGTACAGTTTGTATCCAACACAATTTATATTTTACTTCATACAGATCATCTCTGTGTTTCGAACTTTGCTCGTCATGCTCTAAAGACATATCAAGGTTTGTGAAGATTAAGAATCTTTAAGTCGAAACTTCAGTTTTGAAATCGCTACAAACTTTATTTTTTAGTGATGGAACGTCGAGCTACTTGATTTTTTAAAATGTCAATTGAAAGGTTGACTCATTTGATTCTATTCTCGAAGCAACACTGGTCTTTTTTGAATTTAACAAATAAATACTTTTGTGCTAGACAAAGCTGTTTCCTATATTATGTTGTGATACAGTCGACCGGAACAAAAAATGGTAAATATTTTCTGTTAAATATTCGGTACTATATATTTCTTTTTTTTACTATAAAAAGAATATGTTTTAAACAAACATATACCAAAGTTATTTGCTTGCAAAGAACGCCATGGATTACGTTCATCCTTACTTTAAGTTAAAATAATAATTTCTTGTATAGACTAACAGTTAAACAAGTGATCCAAATTTAATTGATAAGTTCTTTTTCATTTTCATGTCGTTTTTAAATAAATTGATCAGAATAAAAAAAAACAGATTTCGTTAGTAATTGATAAAATTGAAGAATTGCAGCATTGAGAGCATCACTTAAAGAACAACATGTTGCAACAATTAGTTAATTAGCTAAAAGATCTTTTATTCGCCAATCTATAAATCGTTATATGTGACTCAATGTTGGAATTTTGTATGTATGAATATAGACGCAAGTTGTCTCGAATTGTAGATCAGAGTGTAGATTAATTTTCTTGCATAAAATAATTGATAATGTTGTTTTATCGTTGATTAATTCTTGATACGAGTTTATTGCCATTTACTTCATATCGAAACTTTGATAAAGTTCGATTGACAAGACTATTAAAGAGATTTTCAGAGAATTTAAATAACTTTTGATCAACCAAATCATCATATGATGGATCGATTATTAAAATAGAATAAGATGTATTAAGATGATCGCTGATATGAACTATTCAACCATTAAACAAAACATCATACATTACTTCACCAAGCATTTGCAGTTGTAAATGAATAACAAGCCAAATTCAATCATCGGATGGTTGTTTAGATTCATCATCAATTGCATTTTCGCACAAACAAAAAAGTTCTGGTTATATAAGTCATATAAATTGTCACGCAGATGATCTAATATCGCATAAGTAATATTACTTTTGCCTCAACATGAAGAATAAAATCCATCAGTGCTATAAAACTACGTATATGATACTATGACTCTAACTCACACTAACCAGCTAAATTTGTGGCTATTTTGGCGATTGTGAATAACTTTCGGCAAGTACTGCGCCCATGGTAGGCAAAGAAATATATTACTCGGGTAGTTCGTGGCTTGCTCTTGCGACAATGCATGATTTAGTCATGTGTATTACACCTACTATAGAATGAATTCAGTCTAACCTAGAATTTCAATAGCTAACAATTGGCATGGTAATTTTATGGGTAGCCACTATTTAAGCACAGATAAAACACGCATGTGATACTGAGTGAATTTAGAGCAGTTCTATATTAGTTACGGTCGCACGAACTGTTGAGAAATTTCAGTTCTCAAAAACTGAATTCATCGATTATACTGAGTCGAGCGGTGACATTTATTTTCCATTGAAATCAATCTGATGTCATAACATCTCGATTATCCAAATTCTAGTTCTTCCCGTTATAATTAGCGTTCATCGAAAATTGATTCTCTTGATGTGAGACTGACAAAGGGCTGTGTTTGATCATAAGATGTATTGGTAGTGGTTAATTGGTTTCGCTTAAGATCTTCTCCGATTAGGTCTATCAGTGATAAAGAACAAGTCAAACCACGAACAACATCATTCTGTCACATGTTCTCCATTTTTGACAGTCATCAGGTTTCTTTGCTTGATGAAAACTTGAAAGAAAACTTCTGGAAGTGCTTATCCTTTCGAAGTTTCCTTCAAAAATTCAAAGTAATTCGACGTTTGAACCATTGTCTCGAGTTTTTTGTTGATTGTGCTCAATCATTATTAATATTCGGTGCACTGAGAGTGAAGAGTTCGATGAGTCGAGGCAAGTATGCCCGACAGAGAACCTGTTGAACATAGTGCTTACTTGTACGCTATATTTACTCTGGATCTTTACTAGATCCTATAGGAACACCATAATTATCTGAGTTTTCTTACATGAGAAATAAAAAAAATTAGAGATAAGGATAGGACAAAAAAATTTAATAACAGTGAGACTATCAAGAGACAAGTTATGAAAAAAGAAGGGATAAAAGGGGGTGGGAAGAGATTAGGATGTGAGCGTAGATGAAAAGACCACCCACACTTATATCCCATCCTGTTTTCTTACAAAGTCAGTAGCTTTTCTTTCTACTAACATTCAGAATACTCCGCTATTTTGTTTCACGAATTAAATGTGCGTAGATGTGAGTGAGGAGAACGCCTATATTATTACCCCATCCATTTATTCTCACTCTCAATAATCTCAAGTAGAGCTCAAAATGATCTAGAAAACTAATTCCAATTATTTTACGTCATCTGAAATATTCTTATTTATTTTCGTCTCTACCCCATAGGTATAGCCATCCGATGAAGTAATCCTTCGCATCTAGATGCTGAGTGTCAGTCTCTCTCGGTGTCCTTATATCAGTAAAGGAGTTTGACCTGAACAAGTCATGACTGATATCAACGATGCACCATTCACTAAACTTTACGACTATGTCTCCTAAAGACACCAGTGGATAGGCTTTCCAGCAAGTAATAGCGAAGAAAGTCGCTGCATGCTATTTATTAACTTTGTAAGTAATTGAAGCCATGGATGGCAATTTGAAGTAGACCGTTATCAAGTCAAATGTTGATAGAAATAACCGAAACTTTTACGGATGATTCATGTTACTGAGATGTGCTTGTGTTGAAAGTTTGAAGAATATTGAATGTATTTTCCGAATTGGGCTCCATCTCTTTGCCCATATCTTCAGTACTCTCGTAGAGTCTGTGCTAGTGAGACAAAGAACAATGCTGATAATCGTTGTAAATTCTGTATATCATACGCATCTTGTTCTACTATTCTTTCAGTTCGTTAATATTTTATAAAATATGATTATAACTGACATAAGCGGATAGTTTGGAAGAGAATTGAGGTACTGCCATCTATAAAAGTAATAAAGATCTCACTATTACGAAGTCTTTGACTTCTTGCATTAATTATGATATGTTATAATGCATTAATAAAGACTTGTGATCATGCGACGCGAAAAGATTTCTAGCGTTCCATAGTCCATTATTTTTCTCTACACAAATTTTGCCATCCCTGTTTTTTCTCGAATAGATTTTGTTCTGTCAAGTCCTGGATAATAATCATTTTTTTCTCTAACAAGAATATGAAACAATTTTTTCTAGCAAAAAGTCTTTACAGTATTCAGTCCATATCTTGTAAATACACAAAACAAACCGGTTACCATTCATGTACAAATCAAAGCATGGCACTCTAAACTTCATCTGCCATCTTTTTAAATCTTATTCTGTGTATTTCTGTAAATTTTTCATTGGTCTCCAACCGCATCTCATTGCTTTATTCTAGTGCTCGTACTGTCTTTCTTTAAAGACCTGTGTTTTATCGATAGTGTTATAACATTTGTGTACAAAGACGATCCAGAAAAACAGTTGCATAGAGGAATCGTTTCTAGTTATCTTCAACACTTTCAATTTTGATTATAGATCAAATACCGGATTATCCACGACCATCATGCGAATATGTGATGGTTGACAAGCGGTATAGTAGATCGTCTGGTTGGCCACGATTGGCTGTTGCATGTCTGTAGCGATTGACCCATCAGTATTTGGATTTGCACTTAGCCATGGAAACAGACTACTCATTACAGCTAGTCTGATCCGATGGCCTGGCAAGAATGTGTGACCGATCGCACCCAATTGGATTCGAATAGAATAGATCGTGCCAGGAATCATGAAAACTTCTTGATCGAATCCATCACGATAGCGAAGACGTAGCTGGCTAGAGACACGCGAGCCGAGCTTGATTGAGCGTCCATCGGGCAACACATCCATGAGTTCGACTACAAGATCACTGTCCCGTGCGCTGCTTGACATTTGCAGCTCAATGACGATATTACCAATAACAGTTAGAGACTCGATTTTAGGATCACTAGTGTAGACTAGCACATCCTTTCGATCGATCATCGTGTTGATATTGATGGGTAGATGGTACGGTATCTTCTCCATATCGACAATGATGGGATCGGTGGGATCATAACTGTAGCGATCGGTCACTGTCGTATCGGCCGATGACCATTGTAGACGTCCATCACCCTGGATACCGTTGGCATGACCATTGCTGGTGAGAAAGAGCAAACGCTCTTGTGCTTCGGGAGGTGGGAACACGTCGCGTGTCATCCAGCGATTAGTACCTGTCACGAAGAACTTGGTTGGTTTCCATTGAGGACGTGCTTGATCTTTGAGACACCAGTCAAAAAAGGCATGTGTCATGTTTCTGGCAGGCAAAAGAGCATTTTTTGGAATTGAAATATCGCCCATCATGAGGATGGGCTCATTGGTTAGATAGTCATAGCCACCATCGGGAGCACTTGTGTGCATGTATGGACCAATAATGAGAAAATGATCGTAAGTACGAGGTGATGAACGTCGTACCTCATCAAAATGACCGATCGTTCCTGTCAGAGTCCCATCGAACCAACCTGTAAAAGCTAATGTTGGTACGGTAATGTTGACTAAACTATTTGCCAGCAGGTCAATAGCACGCCAAAAATCATCATAGGTTGGATGATCAAGAAAAGTACGATACAATGGCAGTTCTCGGCCAACAGCAAATACATCCAGCGTACGAAGTGGACGATGATTTAACCAAGTTTTTGGATTTGGATGAGTTGTGCCAGCTGGTGGTAAAACAATGTTGACATAAGAATTGATCCACAGAAGTGCCCATTGAAGTAAAAATGCTCCATTATCATAGGGCACTTCATTCATTGGACGCGCGGGTGTAGTGCTCGGTGTGATGCATGAAAGATGTGGAGGTTGTTCTCGAGCAGTATACCACTGATTCTCTCCGGAGTAAGAAGCACCACGCATTCCGATGCGGCCATTTGACCAAGGCTGACTGGCAATCCATTCAATCAAATCATAACCGTCTTTGCCTTCACAAGCATGGAAAACCATGTCACCACCAGAATCACCTGTACCCCGCGAGTCACCTATGACAAATGCATATCCGTGCTGAGTCCAGTAACGTGCTTCAAAACGGCGATTTGGCTTGTTAGGACCACGTCCGTAGGGTGTAATCTCGAGGATCGTTGGAAATCGTCCAGTCGGTGTAGGAAGAAAGTAATCAATAGCAAGTTCGACATGATCTCGGAGTGGAACACGAGTTGTGACGAAAGACGGCTCTTCATTCATGTTACTGACAGTTGTGGCTATTGATAAAAACAAAATGAGAAATGGCGCCAACGCAAGAATGGATTACACTTACAAAGTGTGTTCTCACGACTCAAATTTTGAACATTCCCTACTACATCATTGCCAATGAAAAGATTTAGAAGCAGCCAATAAACACAATGAAGTATTACATGCATCTTGCTGATAATCTATTTAGAACATCGATGGTCTATCTTATAATAAACTCTATTTGTCTACCCTTTTTTCATTCTATCAAATAGTGGAGAGAAACATTTATAAAGAATAGAAGATAAGAAACTCGTTAATCAGAATAAATACTAAATGCTAAGACGTTATCAAATATGTATATATGATAAAGACAATACCAAGTGTCTTTGGAAAGGTAATGATTTTGAGTCTCAGGAAAGTAAAAAGCAAAATCAAATACAACAGTACCCAAACTGGATGCTTCCATTTAAGATCAGTATTACACGTTGCTTACAAGTCAATGTGTTCGCTGTGTGGATGAAGGTTAAGATGGTGCTCTCTTCATCAATACCTACACCCATCCTTTTCTAAGATTCTCGTTCTGTAATACTGATCAAGTTGGAAGTTCTCTTTCGCTAATTTTTAAGCGAAACTTCCTAGGTTGTGGTGGCGAAGAACAAGTCAAATTATATACGACAATCATTTATGAACTTTTCTCCAGAATTCTTTACTTTTAGTTGCCGGTAGTGGATAAATCGTTCTGCGCTTCTAGAGAAATTTTTGAACACAATGTGGTTGATGTTTAGTTTGGGTATGGGATGTGAGTGTGGTTTGAGTTTGAATAAACCGAAGAATCACGTATTCTGTGCCGTCTATGATCGAAATTTGATATTTAATCAATCGAAAATGTTAATGCTGATCGATGAAATCATTTCGTTAATAAAAATCGCTTTGAATTTATATTTTCTTTCTAATAGTGAATATAATTAGGAAATTATTTTATTGGAAAATAAACAAAATCATTCATATTTTCATATGGAACTTTTTTGTTAAAAAAATTTCTCACGATGATCTTTTGTTGCAAATAATATTTTGTCTAGTACGAAAGTGGTCAAGCCTCGATCAATAGCACTTGAATAGTACAAAGAATTAAGCACAAGCAAAACGAATAGTAATTAATAAAGGTCATCACGCCTTCGTTTATGGCTACATGGCTTTGATTCATGGGCAATGCCATGTCACTGACTTCGAATATCTGTGTATTGGGTCGTAACGATGGAGCAAATCGTTTTCCTCCAACATAAATCACGGCTGGTGTATGATTCAGTCCATAAATAGTCAACGAATCCAGCTTCAAATTTGACATTTCTCTGTAATTGTTTTCAACAACAGTCATTGTCAATTGAGTATCTTTCAATGACCACTTGAATGTCGCATAGTAATACGCTTTTGAAGCAGTGGTGTCGATCGATTCACCATCATCGTAGAAGAGATCACCTTCAGCATTTCCATCCGAACCCACTACAATGATTAGACCAAACGGTTGCATTCTAAAGTATTGAAACATTTCAAGAAATAAGTGAAACATTGACGTTATTTTCTCATTTACCTCGAAAGTTTTGTATTGTTTGCAAAGCCTTGCGTTGGTAAAATGGCTCCACCTCTCAGAAAAAGGGGTATAATCTCTAATGGCGCTTCAACTGATACGAATTGACTCTGTACTGAAATTGATGTACCATCATAAAAATTGTACCACGGCGATGATGGACTATAGATTTGAACTGTTCGAGCACCATCGTCAGTGACAGGAGCCACCATCAAATAGGGTCCGACGAGAAATTGAAGAAAAATATCAAGTGTTGCCTTATCGGTAGGATACTCATGGAACAATGGTCGAATTACTGTTGAACCTTCCGTGTGTGCTTTGTAAAAAAGCGTATAATAATATGGAAGAAGAATGTAACGAATACGAAGAGCAGATATCATAGCCCGGAGAGCTGGTTGAGACCATTCAGCTGGATCTTGATCTCTTGTTCGTCGATTGTTATGCTAAAGAACAGCAATCGAATACAAAATCATTTTCTTTTATTAACCTACATTTCGTGAAAATGGATAGAAAGCACCAACTTGCATCCAACTGATAAAAAAGAAAACAAATACGATACAAAATGAATCATCTGCAATGGTTAATCTTTACTAACCGAGTACACATTTCTTCAGTTGGTGAGTTGAAATAGCCACAAATATCGGCCCCATTAAATGGAATACCGAACCAATTGAATTCGATCATTCCAATTATCGAGCGCTTCATTTCATGCCATGTTGCATTATTATCCCCTAACCAATGACCGCTCCATTGACCCGATCCGACAAATGTTGAACGAGGCAAAACCAAACCTCGTTTTCCAGTAGCTGCTCGCAGTGCATCTAATGTCGGTTTTGTTTGACTCCATCCATACAGACTAAAGATCATGCAAGTCTATCATTTCAGAGATTATGTCGAGAAAAATCAGTCATACTTATGAACATCATAATGAAGATATTTTGGTTTGTTCGTATTCAGATCGATTTCACCCTGTTGGGCTGACATACATAAAGTCTTCTGAGAAAGGCGACTAGATTTATTCAATATCTCATCATATCGAAATACGGCCTTGGTACGATAAGGTGGATCATCAAGTGCGCTGATTGGACATTTCAAAGTATAATTACTACCAGTTTCCTCCCAGTTCCACGGTTGTAGTTCATTTGTATCAAACACAGCTAAAGTCGAAGAACAATGTAGCATTCTGTTAATCCTTTAGATTTTTTGTTAAGAATGATAACTGATGATAGTCAAATAATACTTCCAATAGCTCTAGAAACACTCAAGCGAGAGACAGTGGAAACAGGCTTTATTCTGTCCAGGTAGTCACACAACTCTCGAAAACTCGTGTAAATGGCCTAAAAAAGAATAAAGCGATCATTTTTCGTTTGGGATGCCGTTTTCTGACTATGGAAGTAAAATGATAAGAAAAAAGGTTTCGAAAAACAATCGATTTAATATAACGCATTTATTCTACTGTCTTTTGTTGATCTCTAGACAACAAATAATCTCTAAAACTTGTGCGAAGGCTTCAAAGGCTGACTTTTAACATGCTATCACGCTTGTCGTTGAAACCACCATGATAATGCCAACAAATACACAATCAATTTCTTACAAAGAATTTTTTTCTAGCAATTACAAATGCACAAGAAGTCGACATTTTTAGTGCTAAAGCTCGTATCGTCTGCAACAGGAATTAATGCGTTATTAAAAGGCATGTTTGATGCTTGTGCAAAAATATAAATAGTGGACAAAATACTTTGGTGTCAGCATGACGCTTTTCTGAGCATACATGAAAAACTATTTAAAGTCAATGTTGTTTTTAGCTGGTGGAAATATGTAAGTGGATTGTGGATTGTTTTTTCTCTCATAGTCTGAAACTGCGGTCGAAGCAAACGCAGCCATTTTGTTCTTTGTTATTTGTCTATTCACACGCGTCTTTGAAAATGTACAACTGTCTACAGTACATAGTAATATTTTTCTTTCAACGGAAAATAGTTTGGCATACTTTCAATACTTTGAAAAGTGTTTTCGAGTACTTGATGATAACTGACAGCTCGTTTACATAGCATTCATTGTAGAATTCAACGGACTACGCTTTAGTGGGAATACATTTTTGAAACTCATTAGCTTTCTTTTTTTGAAATTTTAATAAAGCTTGAACAAAATTTCCAAATTTTCTAACACAGATTGTAAAATAATTTTCAATTGTATGACAATGTTATTGAAATATGGTCATGAGAACTAATTGCTATTGAAAGCTATATCTCATTGGAATGCAGCTAATTGAATTCTCCAATCTGGTGATACATGGAAGAATCACTAATTTTTGTTTGACAACGAAACCAGTCCCGAAGCACTTGAAGTGTGTTAAATCTATTTTTGTTCAATAAAAAATGCTACTGAAGGCAAAACTAAAATAACTGTCGCTAAAAATCGTTTCTACTGCAGCGTGTTAGATCGCTCCAAGAGCTGTCAGTATCATTAATTGGATATCTTCAGTGTAACATCTTTAACCGAAAGCCAAAAAGATTCAAAATGTGCTAACATTTTGTGCGCGTTCGATTGAGCATTGGTAATTGTTCTATCTTTTCATCGAAAAATACAAAAAAAACTGCATACCTGGTTCATTCATATCGATCCAAAGTCCATCAAAGGAAACCATATCACGCCGAAAATTATTGATCAATCGAGACCACCACTGCTGTGTACCACTCGTGAAAAAATCTATATATAAACATAGTCGCAGATATTCTTTTCTTCTTTTGACTCTGCTGAAGACTTACGCAGACTACACAAATGGCCTTTATCTCAGCGAGAAGCCAAAAAATGCAAGTTAGCTGAATTTCAACTCGCATTGACAACATTGTTAAAGTGCATAGTTATTTCAAAACTAATACTATTATGATTTCATAGATCTAGCTTGGGAGCTAAATTCGATCATTTGATAGATGTATTCACAATTATTTAGATTACTGAATCCAAAGCTATTCTTTGAATGTTATATCGAATGTTAAGGAGCGAAGGCCTCATCAGGTAAGTGCACTCTGAATTCATTCAATGAACCAAAGAATATATTACATTTTGAAATCGATACTAGTCCTCATTGTACGCCTATTTACAAAGGCGCAATAAAAAAAAACACATTTTACTTAGCAGAGTAACCGAATTCTGTTAAATTTAGTATGACTTCACTCCATTGGTTAAATAATATTAAATGAGGAAACTTTCGTTCGATAACACCCATCGAAGAATGCAATAATGGGTTATTTCTTTTTATTCGGAAACAACATGGACGACTAATCTGGTTCATATTGATCGATGCTAGCCAATATATTAATATTGTGATGCGTTGTTTCCGGATAAAACTTTAGAAAAAGAGGGAAAATATCTACGAGGAGCTCCAAAAAGAAAAATATCAATAACAGCTGAACAACAGAAATTTCAAGATCATGAAAAGTTCGATAGAAAAATATGATGTGAGCAATGGCGATTCACAAATATGTTCGAACGATATATGAGCAAATCTGGCAAATGCTCGTATATATATTGCCCTACTATCTATCAGATAGAAGTGAATCAATGAGACTTACCTGGATAAAAGACCTCACCTGGCCAACAAGATCCTTTCATTAGCCCTCTTCCATCGCTCCATTTGATGAAAACGTCGTCTCGAATACCCTCTATTGTAGCTGGATAGCTGACTTGATCATCGAAAAGAGCCGGATCAAGAATGATTATTGTTCTCACACCATCAGCGTTTAGTTCAGAAAAGTAGTCTTTCATTCCTGCATAATTGATCGGATCTATTGTAAAAGTTTTTCTAGCATCCATATAATCGATATCAGCATGCTGAACATCAAGTGGAACACCGGCATCACGGTTTCGTTTGACGATTTCTTTCATTCTTGTCAAGTTCCTGTATTCCCAACGAGAAAGATGAAAACCTAGCGACCAATAGGGCGGTAGCATTGAATGACCAACAAGCCAAGTATATTGCTGAATTACTTGCTCTGGTTTTGGACCAAGAAATACGAAAAAGTCAAGGATTCCACCAATGGTACGTATGGTTAATGACGGTATCGGTGTGAACGAGTAATCCATTGCATTTGAATTTAGTAAAAGAACACCATGCATGTTACCCGATGGAGTTTGATCTGTATTTGGTAATTGTTCCATGACGAGATAGAATGGATGTGCGCCATAGTGATTTAGTCGAGTAGCTTCATCCGTACCTGCAATATAAACATTTTCTATATAAAATTCATTTTTATTTCGTCGCAAACTAACCTTGATCACGGGCGAAAATGCCCCAAGCTTTTCGATCGGTGACATTATGCTTTAACATGTCATGGTTATTTTCACCAAACCCATAGACATGCCGTGATTGAAGCCGTGTTACTATCTGAAGGAATTGATTATTGAGTACAAGACCTCCAAGAGATGTATCGAATAATGTCGCTTGATTCACTAGACGTGTTACTGTAAAGGAAAAAAGGTCATCACGCGAAGAATTTGAGTGATAATTAAAACTATATTGAGGAGATGGAGCTCGACCAGAGGAAGGAGTCAATGGAATTGGTACCTAGACGAGAAAAAACAAGATTGAAAATTATTCTTCAATCATTTTTTGTGGTCGTACTTCATAACGCTGATTATCTCCATCATAGAGTTTGAATCTCAGTATATTATTGGCATAGTATTGAACATCGAGCACTACATTATTGATGGGATTTTGAAACATGATGGGGACGGCCTCATTTCGCTTTAATCTGAACTGAATACCGCTTGCTGTTTCTTGTGGAGATCCTTGTAAGATGTATCCATAGTTTGGTTTTAAATAACATTGAACTATGTCTGAGTGTGCCGCCTCATCATATTCACAACCACGATTCAAACATGCTTCTTTTGAATAAAAAGAAAATTTAGATTCGCGTTCCGGAAAACATTCAATCCGTTCCAATGATTCATCAGCAGCGATGTTAACTACAAGTCCAAATAAAAGAATGAATTCAATGAAGTAATGTACGTGACGCATTGAATGGTACAACAACAATAACTACAACAGAAAACAAGTCATCAATTGAAACATATTCATTTTTCTTAACTATCAGAAGTGTGTGATGGAGGGGATAATCAGATGTAAATGTTCGAGCAGCGCTCGAACAGTTAATACATGTAGAGTCAGTCTATATGCCATTTCTTTGATATTTTCCGAAATAGATGCTAATCATCATTGAAATATTTATTACTACTTTGCTACTGATCGTATATTGATCCACTATGACTTTTATTTCTCATTGTTGCTGAGGTTTCAACTATCATTTTAAAATCATAGTTTGTGATTCCCACGGTGAAAACAACTTTTTGATGAAATTTATGTTCACCAACACTTCAGGGGAACAAGGAGTGAATTTTTTGACGAAAAAAACAGTTTGTAACAATATTTGAAATATACATAAGTCCACTCAGTTTGAGATATTGATTCAAAATATCGCGTTAGTTTTCATTCAAATCGTGAATTCCTTATTGAAATCTACTAAACATCGGTAGTAATGGCTGAAAACCTTCTCTCTCTAGAATAATCTTGTTAGAGTTTCGTTATGTGGTCAGCATTCTGTCCTCCATATTTTTATACTATTTTGAAGCGCTTGAAAAGTGCTATAGAACCTCATAAAAATAGCCTGGTTGTTCATGAGATGGACGGATAAAAAGAACTGATTATCATCATTAGTCGAGTTAAATGCACATGCAGCTGCTATTGACTATTTCAAGCCACCTGTGCACAGCAAAAGTAAATACTAAACAACAAAATTCTATGAGGACTCACTTTTGAATACTTTGTTTGATAGTTTGACTTCGGAGAAATCAAGCTTCTTCGGCGGATCAGCTTCAACAGTTATCGAGCCTTTCTTTATATTTGCATCTGCTGATTTTATGACAAAATATTATCCTGAATATACTGTAAAATTTTCTTGCCACTTATTGCAAAAATAGTTATTAAGTCACGCAATTGATTGAAAATTTCGACTGTTGCAAGATCTGCAAAATAGAACTGCACAGTCGAAGAGGAGAAATAGAAAACTGAAATATTCTCAATTTTGATGCATAACTAGAGTACTGCAACCCGCGGATCGGGTACCCGAACCCGATGCGGGTATCGGGTACAGTTGGTTACGGGTAGGGTACGGGTACAGTTGGTTACGGGTAGGGTACGGGTACAGTTGGTTACGGGTAGGGTAGGGTACGGGTAGAGTTGGATACGGATAGGGTAGGGTACGGGTACCAAAAGTTGTACCCGTGCAGTAAACTCCTCCCCATAATAAAAGGCCACCCCATATTAGAGGGCCACCCCCATTAGAAGGCCATGTCTGAACAGAAGTTCATCAGCCCTATTAGAAGGCCATGCACTAATTAATTAATTAATTACAAAAGTATTTAATTTTTCGTAAATATTAATTAATAATTAGCCAAAAATTACTGTTTTTTGGAGAAATCGCTCCATATTCTATCATTGAGATCATATTTTTATATGAAAACAGCGGGTTTTCCACNGACCCCAGCTGAATTTTTCGATGAAAATGAAAGTCGATGAAGCATTTTCCAAGATAGATAGGTCGACTCAGTTTTGTGTGCTGATTTCAAATATATTATTTTTTTAAATAACAAGCCTGATTATTCGAGAAAAAATCGATAGAAAACCAGTCAAAAAGGGCAGTTTTTGGCATTAATGAGCATTATGTGCTTCAATGAAGTGTCTTGGCCACAAATTCTGCTTAATATGATGGTACCATTTTGTAGAGCTTTCAAAGGGCTATCGAATGGTATATAATTAAAATTGGATCTACATGTTTCTGATGGACAAAAGTTCTCTACTATCATTCTACACCCTATAATATATGACGCTGTACCTATTGAGTCGAACACCAGACCCACTTACCCACTTTTTTCTCTAGATATTTTACCATCATCATCTGATAGATCTCATCGAGATCTATAGACTAGTATATGATCTAGAGTGGATCTGCATGTTTCTGATAATCAAAAGTGCTATAGTATCATTATATATGCCCTATATAACATAGAGAAAAGAAGGGTAACTAAATCGACTCGCGTACAATGCGCAACGCATCAAATTGTCTAATTTCAATAGAAACAGACTTCTGGCACCTAAAATGATAAAATTGGAAAGACAAAGTCGAATTCAGACAGGGGACCGTTTGTGCCTCTTAACGACCCTCCTCCGGTGTGTGTCCTCTATCAATAATAAGTAGCTCGCAGTGATATTACATTGAAGTTAGTATTCATTTCACATTCAGGAGAATTTACAGAAACAAAGTCACAAGCATAGAATCATGAATACAACAAGTTTCTATTCCTATTCAATAGTAAATTATTATGGTTCGCCTGGCGTATATTAGCTAATATTCAAACCACCAATTCTTGTGCTGTTATTAATTGTAACAATTATAATACGTATGATAAAAAGTGATTCGTCTGCACTAACATACTATAAGAGAGTTACAAAAGAAAAAGAAATGTAACAAGAAAAACAAATATTATGTAGTAGCTAATTTTCAGATGCCCCAAAAGCATTTTTGATATGAGAATAACAATTTTGAATAGAAGTTATAATAAACAAACAATGAAAATGCCTTTTGGATAGTTGCTAATGTGTTTAATGACGTCGATCTTGACATAATTGATGCTATCGCAATTGCTATTGCCATTCTATTTTGTTTTGCATAGTCGAAAGTTTAGATAATGTGTCGATCATAATTGCAGCGATTGCAGTACAAAGTTGAATCATAGCAAACATAAACATAATAATTACAAAAGCTAATAATCAACGTTGAGAAACATAGTAACAGTGTATAGTCGAAAGATTCACTGTCTACTTTTCTGGTTTTTTGTTTTTCAATGATACTTATATGTAGGTCTTACTTTATAGATTTTTCTTAGTTTTCATTGAATAATCATTTAACTGTTTCGAATTTTTATGTCGAAATTCATTTTTATAAGACTGTCATAAAATATTTTAAAAAATTTGTTCTACTCTCTTTCAAATTCTAATAAGAAATTTTAACATGAATAAGTTTCTGAGCTATCAAAATAATGCTTCGAATTCTTTTAAATGTTTGATAAATCTTCGTGTAGCATACGCATTTTTCAACTCATTTTAATGAACAGAATTATTAAAAATATCTGCGATCTATTAGAAATAAGAAGCCAACTCGAACATGATCGAAAGTCTAAAAGAAAAAACTCAAGAAAATTTATCGTTGCGATCAGCAAACTTATTCTTAATAGAATGAGTGATAATTGATGAACGTATAGTTGCATGTTTTACTTGTCGATCAATGATAACAACAACAAATTGCTTTTATGATACATTTTGATTGCACTCAATGATGATAATTTCATGAGATCTATAAAAGAAGCTTGATCTTTCATTATTGGATTCAATTTCTCGATCGAGATAATATTGAACGATTTTAGCTGCTTTTCTAAGATTCTTAATGGTTTCATCTGATTCTATTGACCAAACCAGAATATAATACAAATTAAATAAAAGTGTTCAATAAATTTTGTTTTTAAAGATTATTGGAACTTATGCGCATTAGTTTTCATATTTCTTGCCAGTTTGTGCAAATATGATTATTATATCGAAGAAATCAATATGAATTTGTATCTTTAAAAGTCTATAATTATTATTATTATTTCAAAGATGAAACAGTCAGAACAAAACATTTTCATTTTTCTCTTCAGCTGTATGATCTTTTACTAAATTCAAAATCCAAATAAAGATCCATTTCTTCTATCAGACATACTATCAGTATTTTCCGATATTTTTTTTTGTATGTTTATCAAAACATACAATGAACTTTTTTTCTAAATAGAGTACAGTATACTGATCATAAACAATAAATCGAGTATTTAATAAGTTTCAAAAAATAAAATTAGAATTGAGTACAATTTAATGAAGTTCTTCAGGTGATAATAGAATTAAAAAATATGTGATATTCTTTATTGAAAAGAAAAAGCTTAATAGTGTTCATTGAGTAAATTCTTCAATAGGAATATGAATGAATTACTTTCATATTCAGAATAATTTCCAACATCTTTAAATATATCTAATGTTTTATATTAATTATAATGACAAAATGAATAATTTATTTGAATAGTATTGGCATTTTTTAAGAACGTACTGGAGTAATTTTTTTTCAGAGAAAAAACAAGTACAGATATTTCTCTACCACCATAAATACAAATAATTAAACACAGATCCAATGGAATAATCATTGAGTAATTTTTCTCGACTAATCATACGTTGAAGTTTTTGTTCCATTCCTGGTTTTGGATTAAAAAAACATAACGAGAAAAGATTATTATTGGAAGATTGTTGACTTAACATAAAAGTAGATAAATCATCTGACGGTGTAAGTTTTTTGTTTTGTGTACGTGAAAATAAATATAAAAATTTTCTTTGCAAACAATCAAATTCTTTTAAAAATGAAACTTTTGTTTTTAAAGAATCTGATTGTATATGATTTGTTTTTTCAAACAATAAAAATCGAACAATTAATTCAAGTTGATCTTCATCAATTTCTATTTCAAGACATTTAACACGTGGACAAAGACTCATTAATAGATGAATTTGTTGAATTGTACATCGACCACGAATTGTTACATTTGAAATTCGACTTTTATTTGATACAAAATGAATAGGTTGAATTTGTTCACTAGATAAATAAGATGTATTTGCATAGAGTATTAATGAATGAACATTTGGTAGATGATTTAAAAGTTCAATTAATTGAGCAAGACCAAAATCTGGACATTGAACACTAAAATGTGTTAACTTGGAGAAATGAAACATATGACTAAGATCAGCAATAAATGAAAAATTGCCTCGAGCACCTTTGCCCCAAAGAGAAAGTTCAGTCGCACATGGAAATTGAAGTGAACAATTTGTAGCTGCACGATAATCATCAATATTAACACGACGAGCTAAGTTTTTGCCTTCGTCACGACGTGGACATGCATCATTATGTGCACGTTCATGTAATTCATAAAGATTTCTCCTTAAAGAAATAAAAATACAAACAGAAAAATTATATAAAAATTTACCTATATGGATGAGTAGAATAGAAAACAGCATCACGAATACCCCGACGTGAAAAATGTTGATGCGCAAAAAACCATTGTCGAGTAATCCAAAATGATGAAGTAAAACGATCAATTAATAAATGATATGTACGTTGTTCAGTATTATTATCATCAAGTGGTTCCCAATAATGTTGAAAATCAAATATACGTAAATTAGGCATATGATTTATAATTAATTGTTGCCATCGATCAGCTATTAAATAATGATCATCTGCTCTTGTACAAATACTTAATACTTCAAGATGATAAAATAATTTTGAACAAAGTAATTTAAAACTATCAAATGACATACGCCATAATTTTAAAGAAATACGAGTTAATTTAGGATATGTCATTGATATATTATTTATTCTTGCATTAGATGTTTCACTAATAGAAAGACTAGATAAATGATTAAGTTTAGGTGTATATGAAATAAGTGACATAAGTTGATTTAAAGAACAATGTCGATTAATACTAAGATATTCAATTGGACTACTCTCATTTTTTGCAGTATGTAATGATAGACTTCCACCATAAAATTTTGGTGATATAATGCAATGTTTTAAAACTGGTAAACGAAATATAAGACGATAAATTTCACTTGAATCACATACTTCAATATTATTATTAATAGTAAGATAATAAAGACGAGGTAATGATGATAAACTAGTTAGAATAGGTTCAAGTTTTTTAAAATTAATTTGAGTAAAAATAAGAGATTCTAACTGAATAAATGATGCATTAAAAGAAAATAATGTGAGAAATAAATCAATAGAGAGTGGATTCGATAAACGAAGTGATACAATACGATGTACATTTGGTTGTATTATGTATGTACAACAATTTTGAAAATTTGATTTTGATATACAAGAAAAATCAATTTTGAGAAATAATGGAGAATTTATTAATAAATATTGAAAACGAATATTTAGATTGAAAAAAGCTTCGAATGCATGACAAACATCAAGACAATCGAATATTTCATATATTACTTCATTCGGAAGATGTTCAAATTTTGTCATTTATAATTTGTAGAAAATCAATGATTTTATATGTTTATGTATAAGAATTATTTTTGCCTCATCTTGAATAAAAATTTGATGATATAACAAAGACAAAGATTCGATGTGAATAATTAATCGTTCAATATCTATACAACTTACTTAGTGAATTTTCATAAGATAATTTTATGTTATTTAGTTGTTGTTCGATTCGATACATGTTTTAATCAATCGAATAATAATAAAACAGACGATAAACTGATTGAATGAATACAATCATTTCTTCAATGTTGTATAAAACTAAATCGACGACAAACTACAAAGGCGTAATTCATACTTGTTTATATAAGCCATCAGAATACACTGAACAAACTCTAAAAAAAAATCCTTGCCTATTAAAAGTGTAAAATATGTAGATGTAAAATAAATAGAGAATTAATTACATTAATAATAAAAGTTGACGATATCAGGATACAGTATCTAACAACTACTAAGGTTAGAATATTACTTGATAACTCAATTTCTATTTTTGTCAAAGAATAAAAATAAAACGACGCAATTTTTATGTAAATTGTTTTTTTTTTTCTATGTAATGTTTTATAGAAGAGTATTTTGAATATTCAATTATATGACCTTAATAATATCAAAAATACTTTATAGAAGAAATTATTAAAGATAAAATTCTCAATCATGCAAGTCTAACATCAAAATATTTAACTTGTGCAATTCAATGAATAATATTCTCATCGTGTAATCGATTGTTACTGATGAATTATGAATTAGTTTTAAGTTTTTCATTGACTTTTTCAATATCAATCAATAAAATTTAATAAGTCAAAATAAAACGACGGTTAATCAATGAACCTACTACTATAATGTGAGAATCGATTTATTTTCTGAACAATGAAAGATCACTACTAGCTGATGGTGAAATAGTCTTTCCAATGGAAGCATTACTTTATAGGATACTCATGTGGCAACTTCAATAGAAGTAGACAATTAGAGAAAGTCAAACCTATCTTAAGTACTCTTCTCATACTTTCACTGATGCATTTCAGAAAACACAATCGATTTAATATTGATACTCAACTGCAAAACAGTCTTTTGTTCGTAGCTGCTGACAATTTTTGTATAGAACGAGCGATGAATCAAACATACTCAACGAGCAAAGAAGGAGACGATCATAAAGTATAAGAACAACAAATAACAAACAAACAAAAGAATGAGTATTTTCTTCGCTAGATAGGACTAGAAAGCTCCAATCAATTTCTAGTATTAGATTGTTTCCCAGAAGTACACACACAACGACTATCAATAGAAGTCAAATATTGTCTCTAATGATTTGATGTCGTGTGTGACATTTAACACAGATTATCTAATAATCTTTTAACAGTCGGATAATACAAAATTAAAAAGGAATGGCGGATATTTATGTTATTATGTCGCCACAATCGATACCAATCACTTATTGAGATACAAAAAAGAATATAAACAAATATTAGATTTGATTCTTTTGATAAATATCAGCTGTCTATCTAAGTCATGAAATACTTTAGAATATAAACAAAAAACAAGACTCTTAGACGAAACTAAGGATAATTGTTGAAGACTGATAGAAAATCTTGTTTAGCGCAGTAAAGATGAAACTGTTTTATTTGGAAACAATATTAGATCAATAGAGTTAGTAATCGAATAGTTGCGTTTCCGAGTACAGAATAGCGTTGTTACTTACACATTTTGCAGTGATCAAAATTCTCTAACTTGAATACGTTATTGAATTGTTTGAAATCTTTGTGCTTCTTCAAACCATGATGTTCAGGATCTGCATGAACATCACATGAACGTTGCATAAGCTAAATTCCAACTCGAGAAAAGCATAAGCAGCCTATCAGTTTCATTACTTTCCCAACGTCATTGTAATCGAACCACATCGATAGCGTATAATGATATGAATGCTAGTGATAGATTTTCTTTCTGTTATCGAATGATGACAACATTTTATCGTATAATATAGAGCAATCATAATAAGAATATTTACAAGAGTTCATTAAATTTTTGCGAAATTGACTACAATAAAGACAACACAATTTTATAATACGAAATAATTGTATTGAACAACCAGAAACGTCTTTTACGATTGCAATTCGAATGATCAATTTAAAGTAGACACAGCGTTCTGTAATTTAACGTAGTCTGTGTTTCATCATCGAACAGAAGTTGCAATTTTTTCTCTAAACCGTACCGGCTTTATACAATGCAAAATGTAATTTCGGTGGGTGTGGGTGTGTGGGTGGGATGTGGGCTGTGGTGCACAGTGGGCAACCAAGCGGACATGACCCAAAGTTCTATTTTCCAAAATTCAAATATTGGAATAAATACATCTATGGTTAGTCTATCTTACCCTAAAACTAGATTTCCAAAAATCAAGTCAAACCCTAAAAAAGTCCATGGTCAAAAAATTTGTTCATAAATCGTTGATTATACAGAGAAGATTTTTATTATTAACTTATTAAAATATTTTAAAATGAAAAACTATCTCAAACGAATGATTGACTCATAAGCTTCATTGTATGAAAAAAATATTTCGATCAAACAAGAAATGGAGTAGAAAAAAGCGATTACTGGGCCGAAAGTAGGTGCAAAAATCGGTCATACCGTATATTGTGGACTCCCAAAAGGTTTTTAATTCGATTAAGCTGAAACTTTCACCAATTATTCTTCTATATGTGATTTATTGTTGGCCATAATGCCATGTCGTACCAGTGAACAGAAACGGTGCTAGTGGTTTCTTACAAAACCAGGCTTCTGCCCCGGAATCGTTAGTTTTGCGAATACGAAGGTATTTTTATACAAAAACAAAGTGATATTCGGAATCAGCTGGCCGAGCTGCATCGAATCATATATAACAGTAAATTGTTTCTCGAAAGAAAAAGTCGGTTCTTGTGCCCAACAAGGTTCTTAAAACCAGTCTTTTCGTATTTTGTAAACCCCCAAAAGAATTGTCGTCCAATTGATCTCAAACTTTCACTAAGTACTCTTTCACGTGTAATTCATCGTTGACCATAGCGCAATTTCGTACTGATGAGCACAGTCGGTGCTATGGGTCTCCCAAAAACTAAGGTTTTTGCCCCCAAATCTGTATTTTTGGAAACAAGGCATAATTTTGGTGCCAAAAAAATCAAGGTGATATTCGGAATCAGCCCATCGAGCTGTATCCAACGATATATAATAATAGAGGCTTTTTGAAAAATGTTTTGATCTTTATGAAGGAAAAGCTTGAAAAAATGAGTCATATGACATGACTCTTATCGTATTTTTCGAACGCTACAGAAAGTTTTAATCCGACGGAGATCAAGGTTTCAGTAAATATATCTTGAGGTACGATCTAGCGTTTATTCTAGCACTAGATGGCGCTAGTCAACGTGAGCTGAGTTAGTGGTTCCTAAAAACTCTGAGTTTTTACCCTAAAATGCTTAATTTTGCCCTTAAAACAACATCTTAGCGAAAACTGAGACAATATTCGCAATCAGCGCATAAAACTGCGTCGAATGATGTGAGGGAGAATATATTTTTTAACAATTTTGCTTTTTCGAAAAACGTGGCTGGGGTCCCCCAGAAGCGGTTTTAGGAAAAACATTTTTTCAAAAAAAATGATTTATTTTGTTAGAGGTGGTTTTCTAAGTGCGATATAACTCGTTTTTACTGATAAAAACCCGTTTCCAAGGAAAAAACTTACATGTCCGTCTGCTATGTGAAAGTTGCCCACTGTACCCGATGGGCTCTATTATCAACATCACGCCTTTTTAGACAGTATCAAATTGATTCTGTAGAATTTAGTAAAATTTCGAAAGACACAAATACGATTTTCCCAATTGTATTTAAATAGATTTCAGCCTATCAAATAGTATAATCAAGGTTAAAAACAAAGTTTTGTTTGTCCTAAAATTATCCTCATGAGGCCGTGCCACAGATTGTCCCTACGACTTTGCTTACAGATAGAAAAACATTCTACTTAGTTAGAATATTTTAAAGATTTCAATATAAATAACGTACTTACCATAATTGAAATGATCTTTTACGGCATGATGGCAACGATAACAAGTTCGAATATTGTCCTCATTCATTTTCGTAAGAAGTGGATATATAAGTAATGTTTAACGTTCACATCTGCAAATTCGATTTTCTTCTTTGCATATGTAACAAAATGAATAATTTGAAAATTTCGTTTTCTAAAACAATTCAAATGTAAAAAGATATCAGCAACAATTTTTTGAATTATTTTTTCTTGACTTATAACAGGGATTGCAGCGACCTATGTTTCAGAATCAGGATACTTTAAGGCTTATTATAATACTCTTGTGCATAATGGAACTTTCGCAAATGTAAGTAAAGTAATGATAGTTCTTTAACATTACATCTGTATTCGACTGCATACCACGAGTCCTGCTTTTTTCTTCTTATTGACTCTTTCTAATTGGGTGTGAGGTGTGGGTGTTGGGTGTGGATGCCACGGAAGGAAAGACACCCACACACCCACACCCACACCCTCATATTAACTGTAAGATATCAGAGAGACAAATCATTCAAGACATTTCCAGGCTCTGGCTTATTGTTTGTTGTATATCGAAACGATAAATCTTATTTCTCGGAGTGTCAAACCAATCGTTTGTCATAGCAGACGATAGAATAAATTATATTTTCTCCCAAATGTGGTATAAATGTTTGACTAGTAATTTTGAAATTTGAATCATGTTTACTTAAGCATATTGGTACTAATCTGATTGAGGACAAGAATTGAGAATTTTTTAGAAACATAAATTTTCTCTTTGAATTTAAAGAAAGCTTTGACAAGTAGTCACATATTATCTCAATCATATTTTAAATAAATTAAAATAGAATTAGAATGCATTTTAATCTGTTAGAAACATATTTTTCTAACACGAAAGAATGTTTTATTATTGTCTATGCTATTTCTATGTTTCTATTTCTGTATGGTGCGTTTGTGAAACGCTACTATAGAA